GGATACACCACGGTGGGCCAATTGATACACTATAAGCGATCAGCCGTGTCTTCATTAAACTGTTTATTTAAATACATATGCAACAAATAACAACAATTAATAGAAAACAAACAACAAAAATCAAATTACTTCACAAAACCCTCATCACAACATACACAACCACTCCCGTAACATACCATATTAACACACTGTATATTGTGAAGCAATTGATTTGATTGAAAATTGTTTTAAGGTCTTTTCGACACAAATTTCGGCTCAGATCACATTGCTTATTAACGTCAGCCGCTCGCTATTATGGAGACAATTACTGGCCAGTTTGTGAACAATCCATAAAGGGTGATGGCCAGCAGTACAATTACCACAATCCAGCATAACAGTTGAATGCCAAACCTATGCCACACAAAACAAACACAGGGACGAATTCTGAAATGTTGTCGTGGAATTCGAATGATCACTTGAAGACGCAGACCACGCTCATCGCGTGGGCGGAGACAGTCGACCATAGTGTCTTTCCCATTGTCCAATCATGATTTTGATCTCTTCGCGGCCGTTGCTGACAGATTTCTCGAAATTGCACAAATTTCGATAAAACTGGGCATTGGCTGCTCATCGCAAGTCACTATATAAGCCAGGTCTCATACAAATGCAGTAACAATTGAAAATTCAGGTCTGGCGCGTGGCGCGTCTCAGGCATTGATGCACACTTAGTGCTATAACCCTCTCATGTCTTAGACGAGGCCATCGAGCCTAAATTAAACTCAGGAAAATTATATTGGAGAGCGTGGATAGCGGACCGATGAGACCTTTTCTTTTCGCTGCTTTGGGTGTCACCAATGAGAAAGACACAAAAGCTGACTGTCTCCGCCCAAAGTTAGGGTGAACTGTCGTTCCACAATAAGAAGGTCGCTAAAGTCTTACCTCGATGTGAACCAGAACATATTCCATCGTGATCGCATCGGCTTCGGCAGGAACGGGTTCTGAAATAGGGACATATAGAGGTCAGCAGCAGCGGATATAGCAGGATATCTGCGAATGGACCAAGCAATTCTACACACGGCAATTAGTAAATGTTACAGTCATTGTTGCTACAGACGATGAGGTGTGTTGGGGGGGGAGGGGAGGTGGGGCTGGGTTTGTCGCGGTGCCAGCCCGTTTTCCACCAATTGCTAGGGCGCCTCCTTACCCCCCCCCTCGTCCGCAACGAAAGCTTCTATGTTGTGCTTTACACGGCTGAGAATAAAGTTGTAACCCCTGAAAACCTATAGGCCTTGTTAACCTCACAAACTGCTCGCAATAATGAGCCTTGCACTTCAACAGCAATGAAGTATACCAGTAAGGTACTTGTCGTGGTCAGAATAAGCATACGTTCATATTCATGTTACTTCATATATCCAGCCCTTTGCTTAGTTCTTTAAGAACCGTCAACCGCATCTCCCTGATAGGTGCAAAAAAAAGCAGCGATGAACTTTCCACGGTCAACATGGAGAGCATTTATGTCGGAAATCGTAGTGTTTTTTCTACTAAAAATTGGTACCGTAGGTATTACTTGATCGGTCTCTGGTCTCTCTAGTTAAGTCTCTAACAATTACTAAGTCCTTCTAGCGTTGAGGAGAGAATCATTAAAGTTAGCTGATTCACGTACGACATTCGGTTCCTTGCGTTTCTTGCCGACAGGCTCTGCAGCCGCCTCAGCAGCTGTCACCAACGACATTTCGAGTTCGAGTAGTCCCATAATATACAGCTGGTTATGTTTGTAGTCGTCATCTTTCTTCTTTTGTCCCACGTCATCCTAAACAGGAGTTCGTCTTGCATTAAAACGAAATGTAGCGTTTTTAAGCTTCCCAAGGAATTTCCAGAACCTGCACGTACAGTCGTCATCCGGGCAGTTGATTAAGCGGTCAAAGGGCCACAGACGCGGCTGCGGCGCGTCACGACCTCGGCGATTTCCAGCCTGGTTAGCCATTTTCTCCCTAATTTTCACTGTGTTCTCTATTTTTTAAGGTTAGTTGTGTCATTGTCTTTATGAAGTGGATTAGAACTTAGATTCTTCTTTGTTCCCGTAATGAAGTGTTTTTGCGATTTTTCTAGGTATTCGTTT